AATCATGCACAACTTCAATATCAGTCTCCCCAGTCCCCGGTTCCTGAAACCCTAGGTCAAATTCACTCAATTCCACAGATTGGTGTTCGGTCTCATAAGTCTCACTATAACTTCCCATCATCCATTACACGTTATAATACATAAAAACACAGACACGTTAAAATATAAACACAGCAAAACAAAACTGCCAATTAGAATACAATACCTTAAAAAATTTAGGTTACCAGAGCGTCCTAAAACATAGTCTCAGTTCAACTGCCACCCTTCACACAACCTTATACTTATGTGAAGTCACAGAAGCAACTGGATCCCTATCAAAGGATTTTCTTTAGACAACTCAATCACTAGGAAAGACTTAATCTCAGCTTAATTGTACCTTTCACACAACCATTTATATGGAACGTTTTAAGTGTGAAATCACAGAGATAACTGGCATCCCCGGGAATTTAATACCTCTGGTCAATTTTCGGTGATTCTCCCCCACCTAATTAGTTAAAGTTGGTGCATGTTTATATTTAAACGATAAACCGAATTATTTCGCTCTAATTGTTTAACCAGTATTTTGCACGGTCAAACATCAAACGTTAGATCAAATAATAAACCAAATAGCCCAAACCAAGCACCTAAAACCAATATTATTCTACGTCAAACATCAAACCTCAAATCAAATACTAAACCGAATTGTTTCGACACAACTATTCAAAAGCAGTATTATGCTTTTTCAAACACCAAACGTTATATTTCAAATATATCAGTTCAAACGTTTTAATTCAGTCACACAATTAATCACTTTAGCTTTATGTTCCCAATTGTTTTTAACGGGTTATATGGTTTAAGCAACCACAAATCCAACAGTTATTCCCAAATTATACCGTTTGGACAGCCACAGACGTCTTAATATACAGGTTTATTATTTTTTAATAACCCCTATTCACTATTTTATTTCGTCTGTGATCATTCGCGCACTCATGCATACAACAACACCCAGTGTCCCCCTGACTCTATCCGTATCTAGCCTTTTGATACGTGTCAGTAGCGTAACACTATCTAAAATTTAAGTGGCCATTGTGATCCTAGCCATATCTTCAGTGGATATGTGCCACAACGTTACACTTTAATCAATTAATCCCTGTATCTCACGGTTCCACCATTTGTGGTCCAGAGACTTCAGTATTTTCCTCAGAACCTAGCCATATCTCTTCTGGATATGTGTCAGTAGCCAACGCCCTTAGCCAATAATTCCCTGTATCTCCAGTTCTCACCCCTGGTGATCCTAGCCTGGGGACTTCAGTATTTTCTCAGAACCTAGCCATATCTCTTCTGGATATGTGTCAGAGAAACAATACTCAACTAAAATTTTTGGCGCTCCTCTGATCCTAGCCATATCTCTTCTGGATATGTGTCAGTAGCCAACGCCCTTAGCCAATAATTCCCTGTGTCATCCAGTTCTCACCCTTGGTGATCCTAGCCTGGAGACTTCAGTACTATTTCCCGATCCTATCCGTACCTAGGCTTCTGGTACGTGCCGGTGAAACAATACTCTACGGTACCAAGGTTTAAACATCACATCTACCAAAGGCTTGCATGTCACAATATTGTGCTTATCTACTCATAATAGTTTCATAATTTAGTTCACTTACATCAGACAGGTGTTTCACAAAATTAATTTGGATAAAGCCAATTTGCAGATCTTTGGTTATTTAACAACAGGTATCTGCTTACCTTTTTAGAAGCCCGGGCAGTTTGTGAAACACACGGTTCGATTAAAGAGTTGACCAAATGGGCCGGACATTTACCCAGCGAAGTCCCTTCTACCAGACCGCGTCGGGGTCACCAATTGTCAATGTCGCGTCAATTCAAATCTGGTATCAGGAACAAAAGAGGTCAACACGACTTCTAAGGTATACTAGTTATTTTAATTAATGCAAAAACCTTCAATGGTAAATATGATGTTTCGTATATACGGGCTCTCTGTGATGCCTCGCAGGACACTCCAGAGAACTAACACATTGTTCCAGAAAACAATACCCAAATACTCTGACAGAGGAAGTTTCCCACTTCTCTGCTGGCCAATTAGAGTAAAGACTTGAGCGTGGTTTACACTATCTCAGCCAATCCGTTGATGCAGTGGTTGCTCTCATCTCCTCGACGCCATTTGTTACACACTTAATCCAGGCACAAGATTATCATAACAACCTATCATAGTGAGAAGAGCCAGCTCCCTTAGACATCATTCCCATGTCAAAGGAAGACTCATAGATCACAATGAACTATTATAGTCTAGCATTTGAAGACACTGTAGTATCTTAAACAGTCTACAAATGCTGATTGTTGCAGGAAAGTGTGATAGAGGGAACTTGGCCCTAAGATTTTGCTGATGTGGCAAAATGGTGTAATAGATGACCTTTACTCTACTTTGCTGAAAACATCTGGAAAGCATTACTAATGTTCATGGAAAGATGATATGGGGAGAGACGTGAAAAAGACTAGGGATTGGTGTGTTGGAATCACGTCATGCTCTGTCATGTATGATATAAATGCCATGTCTTGGACAATAGGGGAAGAATAGCTAATCAGATTGGCTCGGGCTGTTTTCCAGACATCTGCAGGAGTCTGTCAAATTCTGATGCTGGAACCTTTGTTATAATAAACCTTTGAAAACAGAGTACAGTGTCGGCGGATCTTCCTTATCATTACAGCATGGACCAGCAAAAGTGTTTCTTTTAGTAACCACAACACAATCCTTATCTTCTCTTCACATCAATCACAGCCTTCCAGGTGTCACAGCCTACATTAGCCCAGTCAAGACTGCATTCTTTCTAAGTTAGTCATCCTATCAGTTTAGAAGAATAATAAATCCCCAATAAAACCTATGCTCCTCATTAATGAATTCCTTCCCAGCTATTCATCACATACAGATCCAATTATGAGAAAAATAGAACCCAACAGTTACCCATGGTGCTGGAGATCAGAAGTGTCCAGTGAGAGAAAGGCAGGTTGAGGTTGCCAGGATGAGAGTAGTACAGACAGTGTCCTATGCTGAGGCAGTGATGAGAGTAGTAGAGGAAGATGGGTACAGGGTGAGGGGTCCTTAGAGTAGGCCGAGGCCAATACAGAGTGAATAATATGTGCTTCAGTAAGGTTGGTTTCTTAGCGTTCATGGCGATGGTTATCAACTATACCGCAGAAATGGAACGTAAGTCACAGAAAATAGATTTGTTGCGGTGGCTGCTGCAGAGAAGTACTTGGGATTACAAGATTTTACTGCAGTAGAGTTACAGGGGGTGTTGAATGGTAGTGCCCCGTCCTCTCACGCCATCGGTCTGGTGTAGGATTAGATAGGGTTAAAATAGTGGAATGGTGTTGGCAGGGTATTTTTCTTTTTTTGCATCACCAAGTATTATGGATTGTACAGTAGGTGGCGGCATGCACCTCTAACGTTTGTTTGGGGACCATCATAATACTATGGAAGAAGAAGAACGGTAATAGCTAGCCCTTGCTGGAAATACTTTTGCAGTTGTGTCGAACTGTGTGGTTGTGTCCTGCTCTACTTGCTGCGTTAGCATGTTCCCCAAAATATGCTTTTCCATGCCGTCTGCCGTGGGAACCTCCATCTTTCCTACCGTTACAACGTCATCAAACTACAGTACCGTACTATTGGGACGCGTTCCAGGTCACTTAGATTTCACGAGGCTGCATCAGTCTTCAGGTTAACCAGGCGAATGCTGTTTTACTAATTTATAGCCAGTACTAGTAGTAGAGCTCCATGGCGTGTAGGTAATTTGGTGTTGTAGTAGTTTGACTGTAAAACTGTTCAAATGTATGCTCCACCACTCGTCTGCAGTCTAGACGATCTGGAACGCGCACATACTTTTTCGACGTTACTTCCTACGCCCCTTTCTCAAGCCGATGCTTCTGGGGCTTTCAAGACAACTGGGGAAAAAACGAGGCCAAATCATTAAGTCAGTGATCATCAGGGCAGAAAGTCGGAACTCTAGAAAGATGCTCGAGTTGCCGACTTGTAATTCCGAGTTGGATGACCGTTCAAAACGATTTTTCCCAGTCGGAGTTCCCACTTGTCTTAAACGTACTGGAGTTGGACGTCGGAGATTTCCGAGTTCCAAGTTCCCAGTTGTTCTGAACGCGGCATTCCTCAACTGGCATTCGCGGGGGAGAAGCGCCAAACTCGAAATTAAAGAGCCTATTTTTAACAAAAGTCATACGTTTTGGACACATCTTTTGGAGTATGAAACAATCATGACAGAAACACTTTTCAACAAGCGATTGCAAGTGAAATGCAAAAATTGCGAAGAAAGGTAACGTTAAGTTCGCTTGCTAGCCTTCTTGCCTGGCTGGATAGTTAGTTTGATTATCAAGCGATGTCGACAAATGTTTTACGGCCTAGATAGCTCATAAATTTTACATAGTCGTGTTTTGACATTAGTGATTAGTTACATACGACAGACAACCGTCCTAGGTAACGTTAATATAGCTAACATGTTCAGTAACGTGAATTTCTATGGTCGTGAATGACATCTTCGCCACTCCGAGAGTGGCACTTGATGAGAAATGTCTTCATTTTGTTGTATAATACGACTAAAAGACATTGAAAGCCTCTTTTTAACTTTACATTACAGGAGAGCAAATATCAGAGTCAGCATTGAGCTTCAGTTGACGACAAATCCAGTCCACAAAAGGGTAAGTGCTCGTAACCTTTTGCATTTTGAAAGATTAGATTATATTCCTACAGTATTTGCACCCGTATTTTCGCTCCTCTTTCTAATGTGAATAAGCAATGTTTCAGAAACCAGTACATTGATCTCTAAATACATTGCTTGCTACTGTGGGCATGCATGAGATCCAACTTCAAAATAGACTGATACGCATCAATATAACATTATCATATAGCGGGTCGACTTCCTGTGTACAGACATCAACAACAACAAAAGTCACTCACTTCATGGTACAACACTATGGAGAAGCACCAGTCCTAATTAGCAATGCAGCATTACAGCCACATCCTGGTTGTATAACGCTAACCTGCAAACATAATGTAGCAACTGGATTCACCTTCATGATTGACATGAGTTGTCGATGCACTTCCCGTGTTCAAAATGATTCCCTATCACTTCTGCTTTTCCAAAATGTCACTCCTTTCCTCAAGGTAGTAGTAACTTAGCCACTGTAGCTTACACAACTTTGGGCATTATAGGATCTGCTGGTGAGACTGACTGATGACACCGATTCTTATTTTCTGTACAACCTTGCCATATCAGAGGAGGATTTTCAAAGGTATCTTCTAATTTAAACAAAGTAATTGTGCCCACTACAATGTAACATTTGGTGTGCATACACTAATCCTACGTCTTCTGTCATCAGTTTGAAAGTTCAACAGGGCCTGTTGGTAGACTTTGCGTCCTTTCCTCAGAAGTTTATAGACCTGCTTAACCAGTGTATCTCGGATCAAGACGAAGAGTATCCAAGGTGAGGAGATCATTTTCTCTCAGCTCGTTAATTGTCTCCACTGGCCTTGAGATCATGGATATGTGACATGTCTGTGCTTTCCTTTCCCTAGGTTTCTGCTCCAGTTGTTATCTCCATCATCCCGGTATTAGACCACAGCCCCGCCCACCTCAATGTTGTGGAGACCAATGCGTTCAAGCACCTCACGCACCTCTCTCTGAAGCTCCTACATGGCACCGAAATCGAGATCAAGAAGTACCTGGCGATTTGTCTGTCCTGTGTAAAGGTCAGTGAATCTCCTGTAACTCCCTCAGGCTAGCTGTCAATAGCAGACTTATGAAGAACCTCTGAGAATCCGTCTGGCCAGACAGACGACAGAATAATACAGTTTGAGTAACTTCTTCCACGTATATTAACTTATCCAGGGCTTGACACTAACTTTTTTTGCCAGTAGGACAGATTTTTTTACTTGTCCAAAAGCTCTACAATTACAACCAAATACTTTTTTTGTGTTTATAAAATCATTCCCTCCAGGGCTAGAAATTAATGGTGTCCCGTCGTCCCTGGGACGATACAAAACAGTCTGTGGGCAGTGCACATACATATATTTTTTTTTAAAGCAATGAAGCTGATGCAACAGATCAGACCGTTTAGCTTAATGTTGATAGTTTTATTTATTTATTTATATTATAAGCTCATCAATGCTCACATGGCTGTAGGCTATGCGCGAATGTTCCAAAATGCAATTAGCTGGAAAACACCATTCTCAAAAGCGCACTGCACGCGAGAGTACTGTATGTGACCGAGATGAAAATATCAGTTAGAAATTAAGAGGGGAGATCTAAAGATGCATCAACTAGCATGGGTTACTAATATGACTAGGATTGTGTCTTTGGCTGTTGGACGATAAAATTAAATTGATTTGAAAACCAATATAACATAAGAAATGCTGGTTTCAATGGCAAATTAGCCTGTGTTAATAAAATAATTCCCTCAACATTTCTATGGTTGTATTTTGGCTAGGCTACTTTGAAACAAGGTAAGACATGCTTCATAAAATGACACAACTTTCAGGTTTTAAACAATTAAGTTTATGGTTAAATAGTTTCAAAATGCTGACCGCCTCCGCTCAGATTCAAGGTGGGTGATGTGCGGTGCGCAACAGGCACTGTCCTTCACTCTCCGGTCTTGTGACCATTTGATCTGAACGAACCATGCCTCGAGTATGTCGACAGAATCAAGCCTTTAGACATTCATGTTAATTATCCTTCATTATATTTGTCAAACATGACTGTCGTTAAGCCTATATTAATGTAATTAAAAGTCTCGTTTATAGTATAGCTACATTTTCTGGCGCCTCCCTCATGTCAGCATCAATTTGGACATGAGGCTGTAGACAATATGCATATCACCTACACTTTGACATGTAGGCTTTTTAATTTATGCACATGAAAAATCGATTTCAATATTATTCCAATGCTGGCGTAATTGTTTGATAGTGATTAAAAATATATATATATTACTTGTCCATTCAGACAACTTAAATCTATATTCTTCTTGTCAGATTTACAAAAACAATATTATTATTTTTGACTTGTCCCTGACATTTAATAATGTTGAACCCTGTTATCCCCCCATTTGATCTGTCAGGAGGAGAACAGGCAGTTGGAACAGAGGCTGAAGATGATCTCTCCAGGAAGCTTGGCGACGCACAACTGGTAAAGCAATATGAAATATGAAAATCCAGGCAGGTTTGGATAACCCCTTGATGTAACATCTTGTTTCTGATCAAAATCACATCTTATGCACGTGTGTCTTACAGACTCTGTCAGAGAAGAGCAGAGAACTGGACAAGCTGCGGTCAGAGTGGACCAGCCAAACAACCTGTCTGTCTACACTCTCAGGACCTCACTGGGGAGCGGGAGAAGGCTCTGGAGGTATCATGTCATATCTCATACTATAAACTGCCTTTTAAGTCTATTCCACATCAGGAGGAATAAGAGCTTACATGTTTTTTCTCTATTTGATATATGATATGCTACATGACCAAAAGTATGTGGATATTGCTCGTCTAACATCTCATTCCAAAATCATGGGCATTCATATGGAGTTGGTCTCCCCCCTTTTGCTGCTATAACAGCCTCCACTCTTCTGGGAAAGCTTTCCACTAGATGTTGGAACATTGCTGCAGGGACTTGCTTCCATTCAGCCACAAGCATTAGTGAGGTCGGGCACTGATGTTGGGCGATTAGGCCTGGCTCGCAATTCATCCCAAAGGTGTTCGATGGGGTTGAGGTCAGGGCTCTGTGCAGGCCAGTCAAGTTCTTCCACACCGATCTCAACAAACCATTTTTGTATGGACCTCGCTTTGTGCACCGGGGGCATTGTCATGCTGAAACAGGAAAGGGCCTTCCCCAAACTGTTGCCACAAAGTTGGAAGCACAGAATCGTCTAGAATGTCATTGTATGCTGTAGCGTTAAGATTTCCCTTCCCTGGAACTAAGGGGCCTAGCCCGAACCATTATTCCTCTTCCACCAAAGTTTACAGTTGGCACTATGCATTGGGGCAGGTAGCGTTCTCCTGGCATCCGCCAAACACAGATTAGTTCGTCAACTGCTAGCTGGTGAAGCGTAATTCATCACTCCATAGAACGCGTTTCCACTGCTCCAGAGTCCAATGGCGGCGAGCTTTACACCACTCCAGCTGACGCTTGGTATTGCACATGGTGATCTTAGGCTTGTGTGCGGCTGCTCTGCCATGGAAACCCATTTCATGAAGCTACCGACGAACCGTTCTTGTGCTGACGTTGCTTCCAGAGGCAGTTTGGAACTCGGTAGTGAGTGTTGCAATCGAGTACAAGTTTTATGTGCTTCAGCACTCGGCGGTCCCGTTCTGTGAGCTTGTGTGGCCTACCACTTTGCAGCTGAGCCGTTGTTGCTCCTAGACGTTTCCACTTCACAATAACAGCACTTACAGTTGACCGGGCAGCTCTAGCAGGGCAGAAATTTGACGAACTGACTTGTTGGAAAGGTGGCATCCTATGACAGCGCCACATTGAAAGTCACGGAGCTCTTCAGTAAGGCCATTTTACTGCCAATGTTTGTCTATAGAGATTGCATGGTTGTGTGCTTGATTTTATATACCTGTCAGCAACGGGTGTGGCTGAAATAGCCAAATCCACTAATTTGAAGGGGTGTCCACATACTTTTGTGTGTGTATATATAGTGTCTCTCTAAAATAAGTGATTTATCTCTTTGATATGCTCTCATCGCCCTGTGCAGACGCAAACCAAGTTGCAGCAGCAGAATGAGCAGCTGCGCCGGGAGCTGGAGGGAGCCCACATGAAGAGCACCCAGCAGCTGCAGAGCAGGCTGGCTGAGCTGGAGGCCTCCAACATGGACCTGACTGAGAAGAGATACAAGACTGAGTCCACCATCCGTGACCTCAAAGCCAAACTTGTGGGCCTGGAAGAGGTGAGAGATGAGCTAGAGTATGGGGAAAATGTCACAAAATCGGCCATTTTTGTGAATACTGTATTAACTTCATTTAAGTCTGAAACACTCATAGGATAAATATCATTACAAAAAAAAAAAAAAAATGTTACATCCATATTGAATTCCTGATTTGATTGAGAAATTGGAATGTTGCCCTCCAATTTTGTCGAGAACCTGCTGACAAGTGTTTGTGTGAGAACAGGAGTTCCAGCGAGTGAAGCAGCAGGCCCTGTCTCTTCTGAGGGAGAACGGTGCACTGGACACGGAATGCAACGACAGGGAGCGTCAGGTGAACCAGCTGCAGACGCGTGTGGCCGTCCTGGAGCAGGAGATCAAAGACAAGGACCAGCTCGTGCTCCGCACCAAGGAAGTGCTGGAAGCCACTCAGCAACAGAAGGTATGCAGTGAGTCCTGCAGGCAAATGGAGAACATTTTCCCCCTCAATACTGTCCAAAACCAGGATTTTGTTAAAACTAATATTGATGAATCATAAGTGAGAAACTGTGTTTGTGTAGAAGGGAACGCTGAAAGCAAACAACTCCAAATAGGAAAACTGGAAGCCACAGTAAAATCCCTGTCTGAGGAACTCCTAAAGGTTGGTTACTTGAATTTCCAATCATGGCTTTTTATTATGCATGTCAAGTAATGGTCTGAAAATACATGGTCACAGTCTCAACCCAGTCAAGTTCAAATCCACTAAGTCCTTGTCCACTCATGCACTTATTCGAGACCAAATATTTAAACCAATTTTGTCTTGGTGCTGATCACATCCCCTTTGAGAAGGAACATGTCTTTGAGAGTGGGGATAAAGTACTGTCTTGACACAACCTTGTGTTGTCTTCCCAGGCCAATGGCATCATCAAGAAGTTACAGGGAGATCTGAGGGGCCTGGTGGGGAAGATCAAGGTGAAGAACACTGTGACGGTGTCTCAGGAGAAGGTGCTCCAGGAGACCCAGGAGAGGCTGCACAAGGTCCAGAGAGACCTGCAAGACACTCAGCAGCAGCTCAAGCATAGAGATGAGGAGGTGTATGTGTCTGTCCTTTACGGTGTGATTCCTCTGCCTTAAATGCTAATCGGAGGACTTGAAAAATGGGGAGAAATAGCTGCTGAAAGACCCAATGCATATGTGTGTTTGCATTTACGTGTGCAAGCGAAGTTTTAAAGAGTCGTGGGCATTGACCTATTTCTTTGCATCAAGTTGGGATTGATCTGTTTTGTTGTAACTTTCCATCCTCTGTAGGTGTCAAAATTGAAGGAGCAGTTGGAGGCGACGGTTAAGAAACTAGACGAAAGCAGGGAGGTGCTGAAAACAAACGAGAATGGTATGGAAGGTCTTTTTAAAGCAAATTTACATGATTTTGCACTTTGGCTGTTGTCTTTACCAAGACGTTTTTTTATACATTTTAATGCCTGTTTTGTTGTCGTGTTTATCATAGAAATGTGCCTTTTTATAATGTCAAAACAAGGCTTCATTTTATCCCCCAGTTATAATTTGGCTGAACAAACAGCTGAACGAGAACCAGCTATCCAGGAAGCCAGAGACTCTTGGAACGTTGACGACTCCTCCAGCTCTCTCAGCCTCAGCTGGACAGAGGACAGGCGGTGCCTCTCACATGTTAAGCATGTCATGGTACATGGTAAGATATCGGCTTGATACCATTTGGTCGCAGTCTCTAGCCTTGCTATAATCAAGAGAAGTGTGTTTGTTTTGAATTGCAGTTGTTTCCAGGTAATCCAACTTTAGATCAGTGTTTATAACTTTAAACTTTGACTAATTATTTTTTTTATATGAACACTTATCTCAAAGGGACAATCTGCAGTTTAAACAACAACAAAGCAGTCACACTGCCACAGATTTGGTTAACAGCTGAGGGATAGAGCTGGAGAAATGTAACCAATCTCAAATATAGACTGAGCTATGGATAAAAATGATAGTTTTAACCATGTTTCGAGGCTAACAGTGTGTTTACAATTACAAAGAATGGAGTAAAACAAGCTTATATTTTGGGTTACGACAGTTGAACTAAACTCATGAGACATTTATAAGTTACATTCTTCAAGAATCAATGGGTATATCGTTAATTTAAATGTCCAAAAAATGGATATACTGTACCAATCGCAGATTGCCCCTTTAAAGATAAACACCGCAATATGATAACATGCATAGCGGGGATGACTTCCTTCTTACAGACATCCCACTGTTAAAGATGAAGTCATATTGCTGAGTAGGCTTGGACTGTATATCATGTATACCGGGGTATTTGGAAAAAGCCACGTGATGGATTTTCATACTGTCAATGCCGTCAACTATTTATTTGACGTTTTTAAATAAACGTTTATATTTGAGCTACTTTTTAAGTTAATACCTGCAGTCAACTTGTGCAATAGGTTAAGGAGATATAGCAGATTGCGTTCTTTATTTCACCTGTCACATTATTTTACATTATGAAGCTTACTGTAGTTCCCCGGGAACAGTCACGTGTTTGTTTGTAAATGGAACAACGGGAGAAAGTGGGAGCCGGTGATTCTCATAGCGTTCTGTATCTATCGGCGAGTCTCTGTTGTGCGGCTCACATGAAGTGATGAAGTTACACTTGTATGCAATTCACTACTAAATGTTTGCCATCAGATATCATATAATGGCATTCTGCCAGAAGTCAAGTTTTAATGTCACATGCACAAGTAAAGTGAAATGCCTTTTCTTGCTTGCTCTAAACCCAACAATGCAGTAATTAATAACAATGTAATACTAAAAATAACATAAGGTAGAACAAAAATAAGAACACGATAAAGTAAGTAAGCATACTATATACAGGGTCAGTCAGTTCAGGACTCTGGAGCAGTGGAAACGCGTTCTCTGGAGTGATGAATCACGCTTCACCAGCTGGCAGTTCGACGGACAAATCTGGGTTTGGCGGATGCCAGGAGAACGCTACCTGCCCCAACGCATGGTGCTAACTGTAAAGTTTGGTGGAGGAGGAGTAATGGTCTGGGACTGTATTTCATGAGTCAGTCTAGGCCCCTTTAGTTCCAGTGAAGGGAAATCTTAACGCTACAGCATACAATGACATTGTAGACGATTCTGTGCTTCCAACTTTGTGGCAACAGTTTGGGGAAGGGCCTTTCCTGTTTCAGCATGACATTGCCCTGGTGCATAAAGCAAGGTCCATACAGAAATGGTTTGTCGAGATCGGTGTGGAAGAACTTGACTGGCCTGCAAAGAGCCCTGACCTCAACCCCATCAATCACGTTTGGGATGAATTGGAACACCGACTGCAAGCCCAGACTAATTGCCCTACCTGACTAATGCTCTTGTGGCTAAATGGAAGCAAGTCCCTGCAGCAATGTTCCAACATCTAGTGGAAAGCCTTCCCAGAAGAGTGGAGGCCGTTATAGCAGCAAAGGGGGGACCAACTCCACATTAATGCCCATGATTTTGGAATGAGATGTTCGATGGGCAGGTGTCCACATACTTTTGGTCATGTAGTGTATGTATAGGGGTAAGGTGACTAGTTATCAGGATATATGATAAACAGAGTAGCAGCAGCTTATATGATGATTGTATGCGAGTGGGTTTGTGTGTAGAGTCAGTATAAATGTAAGAGGTGTGGTATGAGGGGGCAAGCTAGAACTCAGAATCATATGTTGAGGTCCCTAACTCTCGGCCAGTGTTGCAACTGTATTGTTTGAATTCTGACTTTGTGTTGACCTGGGGCTGAATTGCAGGTCCAGTTTAACCCCATGAGTGCCAAGCCCGGCGTGTCTCCTGTGGACAGTAGCCCCACTGCACAGCATCCCCCTCAGCCCTCCAACAAAGAGAAGTGAGTCCAGCTTTCTGTCTGGGGCTTCCATGTGTGGTTCTAGTTGAGTTTTTATGCTATCAGAATTAACTTGGAAGTGTTCAGGAACATCTTCTCTGCTCACTTTTACATACACATATCTAATTGGATGGTGCATCACCATCAGCAAGCGCTCTGTGGCTTTAATTCAGACCCATGTTGCCTTTGGTCTGCACCTACTGCCTTATTTTCTACCTTCACAACAGTTCTGTTCTTCCTTCTCTTTTTTGAACCTGTAGCGGGGTGCCTGCTGGATTGGAGTCCAAGTACTTTGAGAAGCGAGACGACAGCATTCCCCTCCATGGTCTGTTGTCTGGCATGCACCTCAACAGAGGTAAGACCACATCAGTGTTAGTTTAGTCAACAGAAATATTCGTCAAATGCCTATTTTTCAGTGGCAATTGACGAGACTATAACTGACTAAATAGACTCAGAAAAATGACAGCTATACGAAAATTAATTTTCATTGAAGTTGACTAAGTAGACTGGACAAGAGTTTTTGGAGAGATTGAGAGCTTTTCGGTGATAAGCACAATTAAAATTAGCAGCACAGTTCTGTTCCGCAATGGGAAGGAAGCGTCACACCTGGCAAACACAGCTGGTCAGCTGCGGTGGAGCAAGCGATGAGTGTGGGCAGATAGGCTCCGCTCCGCCTCTGATTAGACACATCGCACAGACGACTCTTTTGCTTCACCTCAGCTAACCAGCCTTTTAGTAGCTACCCTTTTCCTGGTTAAGAAACACAAGCTGCCTTTAGAAATTAAAAACAGCATTGAGTTTACTACAACAATAGTATAGCTATACTTTTCTCTCCCTTGAGTAGGCTGTAGAAAAGTAGGCTGTTTGAATTTGTAGTCTCGCTCAACCCTCCCACTTTTCCCACTGCATTTCATATACAGGTTCTGTAGCCAAGTCTCCCTCTTTTCAAAAGATATGACCCATCATACCGGCGCTACATTTTTTTCTTTCTATCGTGCATTGGCGGGCCGCATTCTACATTCATAAAGCATATCTCGGGCCGTTCTAAAACTAGGCTACTTGCGGACCGGACCGTTTACCATTTGTTTAGGCTACACCTTGTTCAGTCATGTTACCTCATTAGCTAGCTATAGCTAACAACCTCTGTGTGCGTTCAGGAGGATATGATATAGGATATGATATCAAATATGCTATGTAGAACAAACATGCCTCTCTTGACATGTTGAATAATGTTGGCTCTATTCATGGGTTTTCTATCTGCAACGTTTGAGAGTTTTTCAACTGAACGTGGCCCTGGTAACATTACCAGTAGCCTATATGCAAACATTTGGTGGCACAGAAAGAATGGAAAAGGGATAGCAAACTATTTATGACTACATTTCCTCTTGCCACTATACTATATCTGACTGGGAAAATAAATACATTTCATAATGTGGACCCAGTGACTCAGACTTGAGCACTTGGACCAGGACTAGAGCATTGGAACTCCACAGGGACTTGTGACTCGACCATTGATGACTCTGACTTGGACTTGAGCAAAGGGGACTCGATTTGCTCTAGGTTTCATGACTCGACTACATCACTGGGCCAAACAGTCATTAGCTCCTGTTCTACTTTTGGACATCAATGTGGCTGCGGCGTCTGGAACGTTAATAACAATGACGTAACTGAGGTCTGCAACCCATACTACTTTGCCAATAGGCTACTTGGCGGCACCATCTTGTGATTGTGGTACTCTCTCTCCATTCAATGGACTTTATTGACATGGGAAACATGTTTACATTGCCAAAGTTATTGAAATGGATAATAAACAAAAGTGAAACAATCCGAAATGAACAGTAAACATTACTCACAGAAGTTTCAAAATAATAAACATTTCAAATGTACAGTGCATTCGGGAACGTATTCAGACCCCTTGACTTTTTCCACATTTTGTTACGTTACAGCCTTTATTCTAAAATTGATTTAAATAGTTTTTTCCCCTACACACAATACCCCATAATGACAAAGCGTAAACAGGTTTTAATAAATACCTTTATTTACATAAGTATTCAGACCCTTTGCTATAAGACTTTCGAAATTGAGCTCCGGTGCATCCTGTTTCCATTGATCATCCTTGAGATGTTTCTACAACTTGACTGGAGTCCACCTGTAGTAAATTTAATTGATTGGACATTATTTGGAAAGGCACACACCTGTCTATAAGGTCCCAGAGTTGACAGTGCATGTCAGAGCAAAAACCAAGCCTTGAGGTCAAAAATAATTGTCCATAGAGCTCCGAGACAGGATTGTGTCAAGGCACAGATCTGGGGAAGGGTACCAAAACATGTCTGCAGCATTGAAGGTCCCCAAGAACACAGTGGCCTCCATCATTCTTAAATGGAAGAAGTTTGGAACCACCAAGACTCTTCCTAGAGCTGGCCGCCCGGCCAAACTGAACAATCGGTGGAGAAGGGCCTTGGTCAGGGAGGTGACCAAGAACCCAATGATCACTGTGAAAGAGCTCCAGAGTTCCTCTGTGATGGGAGAACCTTCCAGAAGGACTACCATCTCTACAGCACTCCACCAATCAGGCCTTTATGGTAGAGTGGCCAGACTGAAGCCAGTCCTCAGTAAAAGGCACATGACAGCCCGCTTGGAGTTTGCCAAAAGGCACCTAAAGGACTCTGACCATGAGAAACAAGATTCTCTGGTCTGATGAAACCAAGATTGAACTCTTTGGCCTGAATGCCAAGCGTCATGTCTGGAGGAAATCTGGCACCATCCCTATGGTGAAGCATGGTGGTGGCAGCATCATGCTGTGGGGATGTTTTTCAACGGCAGGGACTGGGAGACTAGTCAGGATCGAGAGAAAGATGAACAGAGCAAGGTACAGTGAGAACCTTGAAGTCCTGAGCACTCTGGAGCAGGTTCTCAGACTGGGGCCAATGTTCACCTTCCAACAGGACAATGACCCTAAGCACACAGTCAAGACAACGCAGGAGTGGCATTGGGACAAGTCTGTGAATGTCCTTGAGTGGCCCGGACTTGAACCCGATCGAACATCTCTGGAGAGAGCTGAAAATAGCTGTGCAGCGACGCTCCCCATCCAACATAACAGAGCTTGAGAGGATCTGCAGAGAAGAATGGGAGAAACTCCCTAAATACAGGTGTGCCAAGCTTGTAGCGTTATACCCAAGAAGAATCGAGGCTGTAATCGCTGCCAAAGGTACTTCAACAAAGTACTGAGTAAAGGGTCTGAATACTTATATAAATGTGATATTTCAGTTTTTCATTTTTAATAACATTTCTAAAAACCCTGTTTTTCCTTTGTCATTATGGGAAAGGGTATTGTGTGTAGCTGGATGAGGGGTAAAAAAACAATATTCCATTTTAGAATAAGGCTTTAACGTAACAAAATGTGGAAAAAGTCAAGGGGTCTGAATACTTTCCGAATGCACTGTAATATATCTACATAGTGTGGTAACAATGTGCAAATAGTTTAAGTACAAAAGGGAAAATCTATTAACATAAATATGGGTTGTATTCACAACGGTGTTTGTGCTTCACTGGTTGCCCTAGTGGCGAGCGGTCACAAATCTTGCTGCTGTGATGGTACACTGGTATTTCACCTAATAGATATGGGAGTTTACCAAAATTGGAGTTGTTTGTGAATTCTTTGTGGGTCTGTATAATCTGAGGGAAATATGTCTTTTAATATGGTCATACATTTGGCAGGTTAGGAAGTGTGGCTCAGTTTCCACCTCATTTCCTTAGGTCTGCTGACGGCAGCCTCTCAATAGCAAGGCTAGATCTCTCTCTGCACTTGGCTGTTTTGTATGTAATGTGCAATATCTATGAATTAGGAATTTACCTGGCCAGATAATTCTCATATAATATTAATCTTATGTTTGTCATATTTCTGCTGTTGGGAAGAGGAATAGGATGTTATGCAGACAAATACATTGGTAGGACAGCGTTATGCATGTTTGTGCACATGGAAGTCAGTGATTTATGTTTACTATAGGTTAATGAGGCAACACAAATGTGATGTGGCAAATGAAAGGGCATTTAGTTGACTAAAATGGCCCACACTTTTCTTCATTTTGATAATCATTTATTCAAATGACAAATGTGACTAAGACGTAATTATATATCAAAATAACTGACTAGACTAAATCTAAAAAGAGTACCAAAATTAACACTGGACCATATCCATACCTGCTTTGTGGACACTGGGGGTTATTTGTTTTTGTGATTAATGCCAGCAGGAAGTTTACATTTACTTAACATGCCTGTTTAAGTTTTTAATTTTTTGTTGCTTTTGTCGATTTTAAAATCATGCACAGTCTTGTACATTGTCAGTGACCATGTTGAACTAAAATTCTGATTTTATGTCCGACATACAACTTCAGTTTTTTCTTCTCCTTTTGTCTCTAGATGTTCCAAGGCCACCACAAGCCAAGCCTGGCCTGCACTCCCTATCATAGGCTTACTTCCTTGTCTGAAAAGGAATGGAGCCAAGAACTACTGTAATGTCCACTCCACTCAATACAACTGTCTGAGGTTGAACTGTAGAAATCTCTAAGAGCAATAACATATTTTAATGTTTTAACCTGTGATGTTTTTCCAAGTATTTATTAATAGGGATCGTAATTAAGCCACTTGATTGGTTTGCTAAAAATGTAGTCCTGGTCGAATGACACTTGAGCCAGTGTGAAAAACATTCTTCCGAGTGTTTCCCAAGAAAAGCTTCCACTTGTTTACATTGTGCAACAATTTGATAAGTTACCTTTTCAATGGATAACATGTGCTAATCACCAGCTCATAGATGAACAGAGTTTACACCTTTATGGTAATTTGTCAGGATATGATTGCTACTGAAGTGTTTTGCTGTGTAAAAACTGTACATATGGGTGTATGAAATGAATCAGTGTGTATATGTATAATATATATATATTCTCTGTATATTAGTTTTGTTTTCAGAAAATGTCAGTGGTCAGGTCTCTGATCAACTAATTAAATCTGTTGGTTTGTCGTCTTAACAGAAGTTGCATCTTGTGGATCTCCTCAAATAGTTGCATTGCCAAATCAAGCTTACAGAACCATTTTAAGAAACTACAAATAGCTTGACTGAACTTTTTCATGGTGAAATAACTGCCTGCGATGTCTCTCACCTGTTGTCAATTACAGCCTGCTGCCCAACACAGTAAAACATACAATTATTAATAAGTGTACCCTAGCAATGCATTTTAGGGTTATTGTACACTACAACATTCATCGTACTGGCATCATGTTTGGATTTAGCTCAATGTTCCCTTCACCTAAAACAGCACAGGTTTCCCAGGCATAAATCCAACGTACATCAAAATATTCTAGTTTATTGAAATGCATGGTTGTATATTTACAAGGTCAGTCAACAAATGTAATATTGAAAATAAAAGGCAGCAAAACAATGACAATACATGGAAAAGAAAACTGCATACAGTATTAAGAAATTGCTGTTTTACAGAACTCATAAATAGCTAGAGCACACTTTCACGATTCAATATGTACTTTTGGTATTTGGTCAATAAGCAACTTAAAACGAAAACATATTTTATACAAGTGAAAAGGTTTTTAGAAGGCCACGAGATGGAACTATGGATTCCGTAACTATGCAACGTGTTGGCTGACATCGGACGTCCTTCGTGTAAATTAGATATTTTTAAAGGCAAACCCTTAAGATCATTTTCTGTAACTGTACGATCCATACATGTCAGGGACTTGGCCGTGTACATGAACAAATGAGAATAAAATACAAAATATCAAGCCAAACAGTCACATTCTGTGATGTCAAAGAGTAAGCAGGGGGTGATACAATATCTCCTTGTGGTCCCGCCAAAAAGTATCACACTCCAATTGAGGCACCAGTCAGTCTGAAGAAGTGGTAGTAGGAATTCATATAGGCAGCAGTTTGATATAAGCGTCAAAACAAAGGTGCTTTAAAAATTCAGCTGTACCATTCCAAGTCCATTGCATCTTCACATTCCGTGGTTAGTTTGTGGATTAAGGCTTTTTATGCAGAGATCTGGGGAAATTTCAACTGGATTTCCGATTCAGCACCGCAGTGTCATTTTCTCACACACAGTTCCGTAAAGCTGAAGGCCCAATTCTAGAGGACTAACCAAGTGTCTGATGCTCCTTTTTCTTTCTAGGTTGTTTTATTGTTTAGAGACTCCCTCTTCTGATTGTGGAACACACTGTGTTCAGAAACAGCCGAACAGGTATGTCCCTGAGTGAGCTATGCCCCTGTCCAATATCATCAAAACAACGGTTGAAGAAAAACAGAAAGTAAACGTTCAAGGAAAAACAAAAATTAATAAATATAAGCCATTGCAAATAGTGCCTTTGGATAGAACTTTCTTTAAAAAACATATTCCTATGTATACATATATAGTGGTAACTCTTAATATAGCTTTTCGATTGTTTACTATACCTATACATGAGCTCTCTGTGTGGTTTTGAAGAGGGGGGAGTCAGGCCCGAGTAGCCAGGTCTGTGTTACACGTTTGTGTCCTGCAGTAGGGGCTCTTTGGCCTCCCTGGGCGGCTGCGGGCTGTGGGGGTGCCCGTGGGGCGAGCTGTGCTTCTTCCAGCTGCCGGGCCGGGGGCCCAGGTGGGGGTGCTCTGGTATGAAGAGGGCCACCAAGAGTGCTAGCAGCACTGAGCATGCTCCGAAGAGAAAGGGTGGGCCAGGAATGATGGACGTCTTAGGAGAGGAGGCGGGAATAAAAGGCACAAGAACATTTTACTAAATTAGGAAAATGTTTAACAATTTAGGGTTACACTTGTACAAAGCATATTCAAAAACAGTCATGTAAATACTTGGTAACTAGTTAACATTAAATAGTGGCCACAAACCTCTTAAGTTTGCATAGTGCCTAAATAATGATAGCAACTTTTAAGACATAGGGATAGAACCTTGTTGAACTGTTTGGTCACTTTTGAGGAGGTATGCTGGCTGTTGAACTCCACCCAAATTCAAGCCCCGTCGGGTTCAGGCTGAATATCAAAACTGTAAGGCGGAGGAGAAAAGGTTGGTGTTGGGGGCTAACCTGTGGGATGTGCTGAAGGTGGGGTTGAGTGTGGACCGGAGTGTCCTGGCTGCCGTCTGGGGGCGCATCCAGCTCCACGTGGAAAATGTAGAAGATGAAGCCGTAGAGCGCTGGCCCCAGGCCATTACACAGACCCCGGATCCCTGTCACCATCCCCTGGCCCACCCCTGTGGGATGACCGCAGAAATGTATTTCGTATTAATTGGATTTTATTCAACCTTTAATTCACAAGTTAAGTTAAAGGGATAGTTCAGCAAAAGCACATATTTATTTCCTTACCTTGAAAGCAGTCTATGGCTAAGCATTAACTGGTTTCAAGATAAGGAAAAAATATATAAATATGTCATTTTGATTAACTACCCCTTTAAACGAACAATTTCTCATTTGCATTTATGACCCGGCCAAAAGACGAATCAAAGAACGTGCAAAATAAAGTTATAACTAAGTACAAACCTTGTTGGTCTGGCTCAGCGGTGCGGGAAACCAACGCACTAATTGCTGGGAAAGTGATGCTTGACATGGCTGCTACAGCACCTGCTGCCCACATCATCCTGTAGAGAGATGAGAGAAAACAGAGTCACTTTAAAGAGTATCTATCACGGAACTGAATCATCAGATGTGTTCATGATTTGCGTCGCCTTGAAAAAGCTTACCATGGCTCGGAGCCAAACCCATACCAGGCAAGCTGCAGTATCTGGAACCCAAGGCCGAGCAAGATAGTGTTCTTATTCCCGATGGAACGCATTAGTAAACTCAATACTACAGTCTGACAAAAGGAACAAAAAAAGAATATAATTAGAAACACTTTATTGGAATGTTCATAATGAATGTTGTTATTATATGCCCAAACCAAAGGTTGTCATAACATGGCAGAGAATGGAATAACTATATACAGTATACTGTGTGTGTGTATAGATATACACTACATGACCAAATGTATGTGGACACCTGCTCGTCTAACATCTCATTCCAAAATCATGGTCATTAATATGCTATTACAGCCTCCTCTCTTCTGGGAAGGCTTTCCACTAGATGTTGAAACATTGCTGCGGGGACTTGCTTCCATTCAGCCACAAGGGGTCGGGCACTGATGTTGGGCAATTAGGCCTGGCTCGCAGTCCGTGTTACAATTCATCCCAAAGGTGTTCGATGGGGTTGAGGTCAGGGCACTGTGCAGGCCAGTCAAGTTCTTCCACACCGATCTCGACAAACCATTTCTGTATGGACCTCGCTTTGTGCATGGGGGCATTGTCATGCTGAAACAGGAAAGGGCCTTCCACAAACTGTTGCCACAAAGTTGGAAGCACAGAATCGTCTAGAATGTCATTGTATGCTGTAGCGTTAAGATTTCCCTTCACTGGAACTAAGGGGCCAAGCCTGAACCATGAAAAACAGCCCCAGACCATTATTCCTCCTCCACCAAAGTTTACAGTTGTCACTATGCATTGGGGCAGGTAGCGTTCTCCTGACATCCGCCAAACCCAGATTCGTCTGTCGGACTGCCAGATGGTGAAGCGTGATTCATCACTCCAGATAACGCGTTTCCACTGCATTTCATGAAGCTCCCGAAGAACAGTTATTGTGCTGACGTTGCTTCCAGAGGCAGTTTGGAACTCTGTAGTGAGTGTTGCAATCGGGGAAAGACGATGTTTACACGCTACGTGCTTCAGCACTCAGTGGTCCTGTTCTGTGAGCTTGTATGGCCTACCACTTCACGGCTGAGCCGTTGTTGCTCCAAGACATTTCCACTTCACAACAACAGCACAGTTGACTGGGCAGTTCTAGCATGGCAGAATTTTGACGAACTGACTTGTTGGAAAGGTGGCATCCTATGACGGTGCCACTTTGAAAGTCACTGAGCTCTTCAGTAAGGCCCTTCTACTGCCAATGTTTGTTTATGGAGATTGCATGGCTGTGTGCTCGATTCTATACACCTGTCAGCAACGGGTGTGGCTGAAATAGCCGAATCCACTCATTTGAAGGGGTGTCCACATACTTTTGTGTATATTATATACAGTACCAGTCAACAGTTTGGACACACCAACTCATTCAAGGGTTTTTCTTTATTTTTACTATGTTCTACACTGTAGAATAATAGTGAAGACATCAAAACTATGAAATAACACATATGGAATCATGTAGTAACCTAGGCAGAGTTGCAAAGAAAAACCCATATCTCAGACTGGCCAATAAAAAGAAAAGATTAAGATGGGCAAAAGAACACAGACACTGGACTTTTTCTTTGCAACTCTGCCTAGGTCAGCATCCCGGAGTCGCCTCTTCACTGTTGACGTTGAGACTGGTGTTTTGCGGGTACTATTTAATGAAGCTGCCAGTTGAGGACTTGTGAGGCGTCTGTTTCTCCAACTAGACACTCTACTTTCTATTCTGGTTAGAGCCAGTTTGCGCTGTTCTGTGAAGGGAGTAGTACACAGCATTGTACGAGATCTTCAGTTTCTTGGAAATTTCTCGCATGGAATAGCCTTTATTTCTCAGAATAAGAATAGACTGATGAGTTTCAGAATAAAGTTATTTGTTTCTTAAAATTGCTTTTCTTTCGAAAACAAGGACATTTCTAAATGACCCCAAACCTTTAAATGGGTAGTGTATACTTTGATTTGTTTAACACTTTTTTGGTTACTACATGATTCCATATGTGTTATTTCATAGTTTTGATGTGTTCACTATTATTCTACAATGTAGAAAATGGTAAAAATAAAGAAAAACCCTTGAATGAGTAGGTGTGTCAAGGGTTTTTCTTTATTTTTACTATTTTCTACATTGTAGAATAATAGTGAACACATCAAAACTATGGAAAAAAATATATTTGTATATATATAATATTAATGTAATGACAACTAACCTGTGCAACGATTGAAAGCAGTCCTAGAACAGCTATGAAAGCTGCAACACTTTCAGGCGAAAATCCCATAATCTGAAAAAAGGGAGAGCGAAAATGTGATTGTACTGCCAGCGAGACCAAAGTAAGTATGCCTATCATCAAGGAAAGGCAATGATTTAGCTATATACAGGCCTAGCTATGAGCAGCAAAGAGCCGGGGTCCAAGCAAAATGTGATAACTTGGTTGTATACTTTGAATGATCTACATAGTCAAACCCCCCCTCGACAAGTCTACCAAATTATATTCTGACTATGAAGGGGACTTGACCTCAGTAATAATGATAATGGCAATAACAACCAAAAGGGTAGGGGGATGGGGGGCTGAGATCTGACACGCATCGCACACACGTCTGTTTATTTGGACCATATATTTGACAGTATACATAGCAGACAGACCTGTCGTAAGTAGAGGAAGAAGCTGGAGTACTGGCCAGCCTCGGGGAGATAGGACAGGAACACTGTTATACAGATGAGCAGCACAGTGGAATCCTGGCCCACTTTCCTTAGAGACTGGAGACAGAAAGAAAGGGGTTAGGACGGTAGGTGATAACAATAAGTGTTGACAATATGTTGTGCTAGAACACCCAGCTACTCCTCATGGCGGAAAGGAGGCCTATTATGAGAACAGGGTCACAACCCAAGAGAGCGAAACTAGAGAAGTAGAGCTACAAACAGCTGTTGTCTGCTTAGGAGAGTCAGGAGACCTAAAATTACACCAACACATAACTACCTACAACAGGGGTTCCCAACCTAGGGGGCACACCCCCATATGGGGCACCAACGTTTCGTGGGGGTGCACGGGACCTAACTTGATATGGGGGGAAAATATATTTGTACAATCCGCCATTGTTTATACCGATCTAAAACGACACATACATTTGTGATACTTTGGGATAGAAACAAGCAGTAAAATGACATTCATAAGCTGAGCTACGACCTTCTAAGGAGCTTGGGAAGTAATCTTATACAATGTGACTGTCGCTATCAACTGATCTAATCACTTTCCGAAAAGAAAAAAAGAATACGTATAACTAAATTGAGGGTTCATATAAATTATCATAATAAAATAATATTTTCCTTATACATTATTATCATCATAATTAAATAGCCTACCTCATGAGTCTTGTTCAACTATGTAGAATTGCAGGAAATTAGCTTCAAAACAAAAATTTTCCTAGGTCTCTCAAATTAAACAATGTCAAGCTGGTGTCAATAAACAATAATAAATAAATAACAATTATGTGAAAAAGGTGGCCCTGGAGAAAAAAGGTTGGGAACCCCTGACCTACAAACACCCCATACTGTATTGTTATGCTACAATATCAGTGACTAGGGCCTTCAGCGTTGTACAGTGTCACTCGTGATGATTGTGTTAAGAGCAAAAAAGATAGAGATTTCACTCTGACTCAATAAATATTCCTTTAGCCTAATTTTTGTAGGTCAATCATGTGTGAAGATGCTGGCCATGTGCTACCATGCTTATTTCCCTGGATCGATCATCATAACACACTTACATTTATTAACACAATCTTGATATTATCTTCGCATTTGTCTCTATGACATTCAGAAAGTATTCATACCCTTTGACTTAGTCCACATTTTGCTGTGTTACAGACTGAATTCAAAATTGATTAAATTGATGCAATACCCCACAATGACAAAGTAAAAACATTTTCGAATTTGTAGCAAATGTATTGAAAATTAAATACAGAAATATCTTATTTACATAAGTATTTACACCCCTGAGTCAATACTTTGTTGAAGTACCTTTGGCAGCGATTACAGCTGAGTCTTTCTGGGTAAGTCTCGAAGAGCTTTCCACACCTGGATTGTGCAACATTTGCCCATTATTATTTTCAAAATTCATCAGACTCTGTCAAATTGGTTGTTAATCATTGCTAGACAACCATTTTAAGGTCTTGCCATAGATTTTCAAGCAGATTTAAGTCAAAACTGTAACTCGGCCACTCAGGGACATTCACTGTCTTCTTGGTAAGCAACTCCAGTGTAGATTTGGCCTGTTTTAGGTTATTGTGCTTCTGAAAGGTGAATTCATCTCCCAGTGTCTGGTGGAAAGCAGACTGAACCAGGTTTTCCTCTAGGATGTTGCCTGTGCTTAGCTCCATTCCATTTCTTTTTTATCCTGAAAAACTCCCCAGTCCTTAACATTTACAAGCATACCTATAACATGATGCAGCCACCACTATGCTTGCAAATATGGAGAGTAGTACTCAGTAATGTGTTGTATTTTCCCCCAAACATAACACTTTCTATTCAGGACAAAAAGTCAATTGCTTTGCCACATTTTTTCCAGTATTACTTCAGTGCATTGTTGCAAACAGGATGCATGTTTTGGAATATTTTTTATTCTGTACAGGCTTTTCACTCTGTCAATTACCTTAGTATTGTCTAGGAACTACAATGTTGTTGATCCATCCTCAGTTCTCCTATTACAGCCATTAAACTCTGTAACTGTTGTAAAGTCACCATTGGTCTCATGGTGAAATCGCTGAGCGGTTTCGTTCCTCTCCAGCAACTGAGTTAGAAGGACGCCTGTATCTTTGAAGTGACTGTGTGTATTGATACACCATCCAAAGTTTAACTAATAACTTCACCATGCTCAAAGGGATATTCAATGTCTGCTTTTTTATTTTTACCCATCTACCAATAGGTGCCCTTCTTTGCGAGGCATTTGAAACACCCCCTGGTCTTTGTGGTTGAATCTGTATTTGAAATTCACTGCTCGACTGAGGGACCTTACAGATAATTGTATGTGTGGGGTACAGAGATGAGGTAGTCATTCAAAAATCATGTTAAACACTATTATTACACACAGAGTGAGTCCATGTAACTTATCACGTGACTTGTTAAGTAAGATTTTACTCCTTAACCTATTTAGGCTTGCCATAACAAAGGGGTTGAAGACTTATTGACTCAAGACATTTTAACTTTAAAAGCTACAATATGTAATTTTTGGGGCTTGTGTGTTATAGATCTGTCATTCGCATTGAAAGCAAGTCTAAGAAGCGGTAGATCTACAATGATTCTCTACACAATGACTGCTTGTTTTGTCACAAACTGAAATTAGACAAACTATTAGAATTTTAGCAACCAGGAAATTGCGGCGCAATTTCTGCACATTGCATCTTTAAAGGTTTTATTAATTTGCAAAAAATTAGAAAAACATAATTCCACTTTGACATTATGTGTAGGTAGGCCAGTGACCAAGAAATCTCAATTTAATCCATTTTAAATTCAGGCGGAACAAAATGTGGAAAAAGTCAAGGCACTGTATGTACTCTGCCATCATCATTGCTATATCATGTGATGATGTATTTCAGCGACACGTCAGCCTTCCCCCTCAACATTGCCTGAGGAAGACCTGTTTCGTTGTGCGATGAGTAGCTGCTGTACATTGTGTCATGTAGCTTTAACTGTTCAGTTGCACAGCCCTTAAGCATTTTAGAGGATTATGAAATGTTAATAGTTCCCCTGTTTGGCCTCTGTGTAATGCCCTGTTGAACTCCCTCCCCCTTTTACAAACACCACCATGGCCCCTTCAAACAACCCACCTTAGGGGAAGTTCAGATTTGCCTGACGAAAACCACAACCTGCTCTAAATGCTTCATGAATGTTTGTTCCTTATGCTGGGTAAATCCCATATTATTTTTGTGTACTATTCTTGCACTGTTAACATGTTTTGGGCACTGTTGGTTTCAATGCGCAATTAGAGCCACCACCACTCGCTGAAAGCCTACTATAGAGGAATTATGAAAACATTGCTCATAAATTAAAGCCGAGGTACACTAACATGGCCTGTACCAAACAAGTTGGTCCAAATACATGAATCGTTACATTTACAACTAACCACATTAGAACTTGTCAGTTTCTCTTCCAAAATGAATACGACATCTCAGTTGGTCTTGTTCTTTTATGAAATCTAATGAAAACAGTAGCCTAAGTGATAGAGCTATTGTAGGGAAATGGTAAGACTGAAGAGGACCATTTGTAACATGAGTAGCTAGTTGAAAGTGTCAACACACAAACAGATGCTATAATGCTTCCCAAAGGGAAACCATGGGCGTCAGTCAGGGGGGCGAGGTCTTGCAGCACAGCCATTCTCACCACATTCTATTGCTAAGCCCTCTTTTTAACATAAACAATACCTGCCTCCACCCCTGCCACCAATTACGTTGATATCATTGTCCCTTCCAGCATTTGAAAACACACACACACACATTACCCCCATATCCTTTTTGATTTCCAAATGATCCCCATCAGGAGGACTATGATGCAACAGAAATTAAATGTACATATTCCGCCTCGGTCTCTTTGAGACCCACCAAACCATCACAATTCTAGCTGCTACCACTGATCATAGTGCCAAATTGAAGCACACATTTTCAAGAGGTTTGAGAATGTTTCCCTAACAAGGCAATATATTTGTATATTGGTAGACTAACCCTTCACTTCTTGAATTCTAATGTCATTTGCATAAAGCTTAGCCTACACTAAGCTAACCCTACACTCTCAAGAGAAGGTAACTGCATCTCATCTGCCTAATCCAAATAATTTCGAGGTCTGAAAGCACACTAATAAATTGGTACACAAAATAATAACACAAACTGACAGCCTTTAGATGTGGACCTGGTACTCACAGCAAAGGGATCGGCTTGTTCCCAGGAGATGGGAGCCCCCCAGGACGCTGGCCTCATCTTCTCAGGCAGAGACTCAGGCACGGCCACCAGGATGAAGCAGATGTCCAGCATAGCGATGGCCGAGGCCAGCACCACCACCAGGCCGTCCCCATACACACGGCCCAAGTAGGCTCCAATGGCCGGGCTCGTCACCAGGCTAGCAGCAAAGGTGGCCGACACCTAACGGACAAGAGTAGAGGAGGTTTGCTACGGCCAAGCTTTGCTACTACCACTCTTTGAATTAAATTGTAGTTTCACTTTGTTTTTTGCGCATAATTTTATTTATTTATTATATATTTATCCTTTGTTAAGTGGGAGAAATCTGCAAATAGGTTCTGAATTATGTACTATTTTAGCACTGAACCGCAAATAACTGAATCAAAAATGGTGCTGTGGTAAACAAGATTAGAAGAAACTGTGTAGGTAATGTTTAATACACACCAGTCCATAGGCCATGCTGCGCTCATGCTCCTGCGTGATGTCAGCCACATAGGCAAAGACCACGGAGAATGTAACAGCGAACACACCGGACACTGAGATAACTGCAAAGTACCACCTGAAACCGAGGCAGGATATGGCACTCAGTTAATAATACACTTGATTCAGCTTTGAATGGTGATCTCAGTAACTATGAACTATCTCAGGTTGGGAGCCATCGTACCAGGGGCTTATCTTCATCAGTGGAATGGGAGCGCAGGTGAAGAAAACGGTGAGCAGGAGAAAAGACTTCCGACCCCACACATCAGAAAGGGCACCAATCAGCGGAGCACTCAGGAAAGACAGCAGGCCCTGTAATACAATAAGACACACCCAAAAATGGTAACAGAATTGAAAGGTAACTAGGTGTGCTGTTCAAAATAATAGCACATGTTCAAACACCATACCTTTACCCCCTGGATCAAGCCATTCATTAGAAACGTATGCTTCGGGAACGTCTCATGTAGGACCTGGATAGGAAGGGGACAGATAGTGGTTAATTGGACTGTTAATTGGAGAAGGTCTTCAACATAGTTTCATCAGCAGCCAACAAATCATACTGTATGAAAAAATAGGTAATAAACAAGACAACCTACCACCAAAGTGGGTGCTGTAAGCAGGCCCCAGGCAAAAAATTCTAAAAATATGACAATTACAGCATGGTACACGCTGGGAGCTCCGAAACCTTGTGCCTGGTGAACAGAGTGGAATAACTATGCAAGTATGTCAACAAGAAACAAGTAATACTCAACTGTCTTACTTTCAAATAAGATATATTAAAGGTAAACTCAGCAATAGGACACCATAATACACAGTGGGGCATCTTCCTGCTTACACATAATTCATATCTGACACTATTGACTCTACTACATGTCCACACTGGAAGAGCCAGTAGTGGTGTTGCAGTCTTCGGAAATTTGACTTTAGTTGTTGTTGATTTCTGTAAGTAGGAATATAGCTAGTTACCATATTGCTGAGTAAGTGTAACGTTACCCAACTAAACAAACGACTAGCTAGAAAGCTTGCCTATAGTTATGGAACTCTATTAGCCTAGCCACCTTTTTAACAATAATGTTTAAAGTTACTTCACTAGCTAGCTAATACTTGTCCATCTCAGATGGCATCTAGCTAAATTACTGTCAAATATACTGATATGTTAGCCAACTTAGCTAGCTAGTGCCACACATATGGTGATAGCCAGCTAGCTAGCGTTAGCTAGCTATGTTGTTTTTGAGAGGACTGTGAAGAGGCATCGGAACTTCCCCAGGACGCTAGCAAGCAGAACGAGCTAGCAAGCTAGCTCGCTAAATGTGACATATTGTAGACAGACATACCACATGCTGCTAGTTAATCTCAAGAAATACGATGGCAAATACTGTCATTTTGGTGGAAACTCACCGTTCCTCCATCCTTGATAATAATTTTTTTCGCCAGCAGGAGACTGCGATTCGCCCGTTTCTTCTTTTTGCTCTGTGTCATATTACCATTCTAGTTCTTCGTTTAATAAGAATCTATTTGTTAAGGAATTTAAGAAAAAAAACTATTCAAATCAGATTGTTGGAAAATAAACTGAAATACCTTAGAATAAATCTAATTTTCAAACTAAAAGGGCTGTTTCGTCCAATTCACTCAACCACCGCCATCTTTGCAAAAACATGGTTAAAACGTAATGACGTCACATCATACGATTTCTTTCTTTTTTCTGATATCCGTGTACCTGCTAGGACGCGTACTGGTATGGCTTCTACTTTTAACAGTTACTACATCTCTGTATACATTTCATTAGAGAATAGTAGAAAAATCTGCAGACCATGTCTGCATTACATTTCTACTTTACTCTCATGTATTATGCGCTACAATATTCCCCCTCACTCTAGAACCGTCCACGCACCAAGGCCCCATAGGTGTCACAGGATCTTCCTGAAAGGCCCTGAAGGCATCCTATACTACATCTTATACAGTTGAAGTCGGAAGTTTACATACACTTAGGTTGGAGTCATTAAAACTCGTTTTTCAACCACTCCACAAATTAACAAACTATAGTTTTGGCAAGTCGGTTAGGACATCTACTTTGTGCATGACACAAGTAATTTTTCCAACAATTGTTTACAGACAGATTATTTCACTTATAATTCACTGTATCACAATTCCACTGGGTCAGAAGTTTACATACACTAAGATGACGGTGCCTTTAAACAGCTTGGAAAATTCCAGAAAATGATTTAGAAGCTTCTGATAGGCTAATTGACATAATTTGAGTCAATTGGAGGTGTACCTGTGGATGTATTTCAAGGTCTACCTTCAAACTCAGTGCCTATTTGCTTGACATCATGGGAAAATCAAAAGAAATCAGCAAAGACCTCAGAAAAATATTGTAGACCTCCACAAGTCTGGTTCATCCTTGGGAGCAATTTCCAAACGCCTGAAGGTACCACGTTCATCTGTACAAACAATAGTACGCAAGTATAAACACCATGGGACCACGCAGCCATCATACCGCTCAGGAAGGAGACGCATTCTGTCTCCTAGAGATGAACGTATTTGGTGCGAAAAGTGCAAATCAATCCCAGAACAACAGCAAAGGACCTTGTGAAGATGCTGGAGGAAACAGGTACAAAAGTATCTATATCCACAGTAAAACAAGTCCTATATCGACATAACCTGAAAGGCCGCTCAGCAAGGAAGAAGCCACTGCTCCAAAACCTCCATAAAAAAGCCAGACTACGGTTTGCAACTACACATGGGAACAAAGATCATACTTTTTGGAGAAATATCCTCTGGTCTGATTAAACAAAAATTTAACTGTTTGGCCATAATGACTATCATTATGTTTGGAGGAAAAAGGGGGTTGCTTGCAAGCCGAAGAACACTATCCCAACCGTGAAGCACGGGGGTGGCAGCATCATGCTGTGGGGGTGCTTTGCTGCAGGAGGGACTGGTGCACTTCACAAAATAGATGGCATCATGAGGAAGGAAAATTATGTGGATATATTGAAGCAACATCTCAAGAGGTGGGAGATGTGTCGCACTGCATGGTGGTTATGCCCCTAACATTTTTAAAAGACATCTGTGACCAACAGATGCATATCTGTATTCCCAGTCATGTGAAATCCATAGATTAGGGCCTAATTAATTTATTTCAATTGACTGATTTCCTTATATGAACTGTAACTCAGTAAAATCTTTGAAATTGTTGCATGTTGCTTTATATTTTTGTTCAATATAACATAGGATAATAACTCAGACAGAGGTCTTGTTGGTGTTTTCAAACTGTTTGACATGGAGATTGGCATGTAAGAGGGAGCTTTTTTTAAATAAACATTTTAGAGCAAAGCAAATTTCTCATGCTGAGAATATCTGGCCAAATAGATTTAATAGAGCATGTTCTATCATAATACTGTGTGTAGTCAGAGAGGAAGAGGCAAAGCGAGAGGGTTTACTCCCATCAAAATCTGTCTGGAATAAGCAGACCGGTAAGTAGACCTTCCTGCATTTGGGACAACGACGCCCATTGTTAGGGCAGAGACCATCTTGTTATTATATACAGTATCTCTGGTGAAGTTCAGGATTTTTCTCAACCACTGAGGTATAATAAGAACTGGATACTTTGTCCAAGATGTCCGACCGTTGTTTTTAAGGAAATCCATTCACGTTCGCATACGTCGATTCATGGACCGTCTATATCTGGGTTGCATCTGGTTTATATGGACCAACCTCACATGCGCACTACCACTCAGTGCACACAGGGAGCAGTGTGAGCAACGACAACGCCATCACGTCATCCAAAACCATGGCTGTGAGTGATGAAAAAACTATTGAATAACTATTGAATAATTCAATCAATGTTTTGTGCACAAAGGTGATAACTAACATGTCTCATTAGGCATACAGTATATTAAAAAATAGTATAATAACAGTGTTTTTGCTTTCAAAGTATAGTTCACTTTCCCCTTTTGGAACAAATTTACTGCATTATCCTCACTCTGGAAGTGCAGCACTGTGTTTCAACTGTCTTTCAAGCATCTCCATTCATCCACCAACACCTCTCATGGCCTCACACAACAGTGCCATAAGACTTCTGATACCAATTCAGCAAATTTGGGGTGATGGGGGCAACAAAATTGTGAACCACTATTTACAGTTTTTCTCAATTGTGTACAAGCATTTTTTGGAACAAGTCCACAAGACACATTCCACAAGACACAGAACGATGTGGCATTTTAAAAAAACTGTAAAACTGTAAATTTTCAAAATGTAGTTGCCTTCTCAAAACATGAATACATACAGTGGGGAGAACAAGTATTTGATACACTGCTGATTTTGCAGGTTTTCCTACTTACAAAGCATGTAGAGGTCTGTAATGTTTATCATAGGTACACTTCAACTGTGAGAGACGGTATCTAAAACAAAAATCCAGAAAATCACATTGTATGATTTTTAAGTAATTCATTTGCATTTATTGCATTACATAAGTATTTGATACATCAGAAAAGCAGAACTTAATATTTGGTACAGAAACCTTTGTTTGCAATTACAGAGATCATACGTTTCCTGTAGGTCTTGACCAGGTTTGCACACACTGCAGCAGGGATTTTGGCCCACTCCTCCATACAGAACTTCTCCAGATCCTTCAGGTTTTGGGGCTGTCGCTGGGCAATACGGACTTTCAGCTCCCTCCAAATATTTTCTATTGGGTTCAGGTCTGGAGACTGGCTAGGCCACTACAGGACCTTGAGATGCTTCTTACGGAGCCACTCCTTAGTTGCCCTGGCTGTGTGTTTCGGGTCATTGTCATGCTGGAAGACCCAGCCACGACCCATCTTCAGTGCTCTTACTGAGGGAAGGAGGTTGTTGGCCAAGATCTCGCAATACATGGCCCCATCCATCCTCCCCTCAATACGGTGCAGTCGTCCTGTCCCCTTTGCAGAAAAGTATCCCCAAAGAATGATGTTTCCACCTCCATGCTTCACGGTTGGGATGGTGTTCTTGGGGTTGTACTCATCCTTCTTCTTCCTCCAAACACGGTGAGTGGAGTTTAGACCAAAAAGCTGTATTTTTGTCTCATCAGACCACATGACCTTCTCCCATTCCTCCACTGGATCATCCAGATGGTCATTGGCAAACTTCAGACGGGCCTGGACATGCGCTGGCTTGAGCAGGGGGACCTTGCGTGCGCTGCAGGATTTTAATCCATGACGGCGTAGTGTGTTACTAATGGTTTTCTTTGAGACTGTGGTCCCAGCTCTCTTCAGGTCATTGACCAGGTCCTGCCGTGTAGTTCTGGGCTGATCCCTCACCTTCCTCATGATCATTGATGCCCCACGAGGTGAGATCTTGCTTGGAGCCCCAGACCGAGGGTGATTGACCGTCATCTTGAACTTCTTCCATTTTCTAATAATTGCGCCAACAGTTGTTGCCTTCTCACCAAGCTGCTTGCCTATTGTCCTGTAGCCCATCCCAGCCTTGTGCAGGTCTACAATTTTATCCCTGATGTCCTTACACAGCTCTCTGGTCTTGGCCATTGTGGAGAGGTTGGAGTCTGTTTGATTGAGTGTGTGGACAGGTGTCTTTTATACAGGTAACAAGTTCAAACAGGTGCAGTTAATACAGGTAATGAGTGGAGAACAGGAGGGCTTCTTAAAGAAAAACTAACAGGTCTGTGAGAGCCGGAATTCTTACTGGTTGGTAGGTGATCAAATACTTATGTCATGCAATAAAATGCAAATTAATTACTTAAAAATCATACAATGTGATTTTCTGGATTTTTGTTTTAGATTCCGTCTCTCACAGTTGAAGTGTACCTATGATAAAAATTACAGACCTCTACATGCTTTGTAAATAGAAAAACCTGCAAAATCGGCAGTGTATCAAATACTTGTTCTCCCCACTGTATAAGGTCCAACAGTTGATAGTTCATGTCAGAGCAAAGACCAAGCCATGAGGTCGAAGGAATTGTCCGTTGAGCTCCGAGACAGGATTGTGTCGAGGCACAAATCTGGGGAAGGGTACCAAAACATTTCTGCAGCATTGAAGGTCCCCAAGAACACAGTGGCCTCCATCATTTTTAAATGGAAGAAGTTTGGAACCACCAAGACTCTTCCTGGAGCTGGCCACCCGGGCAAACTGAGCAATCGGGGGAGAAAGGCCTTGGTCAGTGAGGTGACCAAGAACCCGATGGTCAGTCTGACCGAGCTCTGGAGTTCCTCTGTGGAGATGGGAGAACCTTCCAGAAGGACAACCGTCTCTGCAGCACTCCACCAATCAGGCCTTTATGGGAGACTGGCCAGATAGAAGCCACTCCTCAGTAAAAGGCACATGACAGCCCACTTGGAGTTTGCCAGAAGGCACCTAAAGACTCTCAGACCATGAGAAACAAGATTCTCTGGTCTGATGAAACCAAGATCGAACTCTTTGGCCTGAATGCAAAGTGTCACGTCTGGAGGAAACCTGGCACCATCCCTACGGTGAAGGATGGTGATGGCAGCATCATGCTGTGAGGATGTTTTGCAGCGGCAGGGACTGGGAGACTAGTCAGGAAAGATGAACGGAGCAAAGTACAGAGAGATCCTTGATGAAAACCTGCTCCAGAGCACTCAGGACCTCAGAATACTCGAGAATGTAATCGCTGCCAAAGGTGCTTCAACAAAGTACTGAG